GTGTGTGTGTGTGTGTGTGTGTGTGTGTGTGTGTGTCAGTGTCTGTCAGCTAGTACCTGCGTCTCTGTGGCCCGAGGCAGGAGTCCATATTGGGTCGGAGATAAGGCGGGAGAGGTAGGTCAGCTCCACATTTCCTTTCTGAAATAACAAGTCGAAAAATGAAACCCCTTGCTTGTCCTTCCCTGAAAAGGAGCCACAGAAGGAAGGTGCCTAATCTTCCCTGGCAGCGCCGGCAGTCAATGCGGACCGTTCCCCGGCGGGGCCTGCTTTTGTCCGGCCTGATGTAGGCCAGGAATGTGACTTCTGATTTCAAGACAAGTTTCTCAGGAAGTCTGAACAGTGGGGTTTGCGCAACTCGGCTGCCGGGTTCCTGGGCTGGTTTTTGTCGGGAGGATAGAGAGACTCTGAGCAAGACTAGAAGTTCTCTGTGACGACGGCTGCCTCTCCCTCGGCTGGGAGGGGGACTCTTTGTAACGGAGATAATCGCGTCTCTGCGCACCAGCATCCCCAGTTTTTAACCTGGTTACAGGGGGCACCTGCCCTCGGGCCTTTCATTCATGGTTGAGTCACCAGCACACGGGCACATGCTGGCACCTCAATGCGAAAGGGGCGCTTAGAAAGTAGGCCCCCATTAGGTCTGAGTGACAGCAGGGTCTGTCTGGTGCCCCGCTGTGTGTGAGTCACACACAAAACGTTTTAAAAATGAGAACCAGTGGTTCTCAACCTGTGGGTTGCTACCCCTTTTGGGGGGTTGAACGACCCTTTCACAGGCATTGCCTAAGACCATCGGAAAGCACATAAATATTTCACAGTATATAATTACATATTGTTTTGTGATGAATCACTGTGCTTTAATTATGTTTATGTTCAATTTGTCACGGTGAAAATGCATCCTGCACATCAGCTATTTACACGACGATTCATAACAGTAGCCCAGTTACAGGGATGAAGTAGCAACGAAAATAATGTGATGGTTGGGGTCCACCACCACGTGAGGAACTGTAGGAAAGGGTCGCAGCATGAGGCAGGTTGAGCACCACGGCTGTAGACAATTAGAAAAATGCACCAGAAGGAAAGAAAAGAAAAGTGGAAACAGTTGATCATCACTGTTAGCTTGTGTTCCGCCTCCTCTCCCCCACCCACTTCACGCCCCGCCCCAGTGAGCCTCATGCTTCTGCAGGTGGTGGTGTCTCCTGCGTCTTCGAGTTAAGATGTATCCCGCCGTGTCCCTGTGGCACTGAATAGTCTTGAGAGGCCTGTCCGTGCAGGTGGCTTTGCCATCGAGTGTCTCCTCGTTTGGCTCTGCCTTGGTTTCATGGTGGTCCGTTTGCTGAGCATGATGGTGTGTGTGCCCCCTCATTTTTCTCAGTTAACAGATAACATTGCAAGGGCCAGGAGTGTTTGTGGGCTAGTCTGCGTGGTTCCTGGGGATACGTTGCTGAGAGATGGTCAGCAGGTAGGACCGTTTTGAGACCTTCCTGAGTAGCCACTGCCGCCACACTGCCCGCCAGAGTGGCTGTCACCCTCGGACCTTCCCCCACCCATGTGTGAGAGTGCCTGGGCTTCCCTGTCCCAGCCCGTCTTGTAAAGATGGGAGAATCTGAGAGGCAGGTGAATCGTGCATGGTGGGTCCTTGTTTCCCCATTGGAGGCCTGGCATGACCTTACTCATCACAGGATACTCGCTTTGTTCCCTCTGATTTGTGAGCACTCCGGATAATTAACATACCTCTGTGGCCAGTGGAAATGAATGAGGCACCGCCTTACTGCTAGCGTGGGACAGTTTCTAAGCAATGCATATTCTTGAGTATATTTGAAATGCACACCCAAAATAAGCGTGTGTGGTGTGCCTCCTGTGCTGTACCACGGGGAGGGCAGAGTCCACACTGAAAGCTGTGGCTGCGTCTTTCTGGAGGCAGACCCAGTGTGTGCGCCGAGTTCCCTTGGGGCTGGAGGCTTGGGGGCCTGTCGGTATTGAAGTGGGAGGAGGACTTACGTGGCATATTAGCAGTTTAATCCTGTTTGCATATTTACCTTGTCCACATGATCTGGTTTTAATGAAAGAGCCAGCTCATTAAAATTAAAAATAAAAAAGGAGGAAAAACGTTAGTAGGTGAGTGTCTTAACCTTCTCTCAGGTGTGTGTGTTGGAGATATGTTCCCTAATGTGCTCCTCTCTGTTTAATTCTCTTGGTGTGCGTGGTTTGTTTTCACCTAATAAAGATCCATGAGCCGTTAGTGGCTGGATTTGTTTCTGGTGCTTCAGACTCAGAAACCCAAAGTCCAGTGAGTTGCTGCCGACCCGCAATTTCTTGTTGGCGTCTTTCTTTCTTTCACCTGCGTTGAACCCATCTGTACTTTGGTAGATGATGTGGGGTCATTATCAACATAGGGGTTTTTTAAGTTAGTTAAGTGATCCCAGCATTGATTGGTTGGCTTTCTCTTTAGCTGCTGATTTATAATGCCATCTTAAACAGGTTATGTTTTATAGCACATATTCTAGGATTGTTTTCATGTCCACTAGTTGTTGCATTGGTCAGCATCACTTACATGTACAGTCCAGGTCGTACAATAGATGCTACGGTAGGTTCCCCAAAGTGTGTGTGTAGACACACATACACACCTACATGCATACATTTTTTTCTCTTCTCATCTTTAAAATTCCCTTAAGTTCTTCTTTTTCCATGCTATTGGAATTAAAGATTGAATTTAGAAGGGATGAACATTTCAATAAAGTCTCTCTTTTTGACTGAGGGGTTCGTTAATGTTCCTAACCCAAACCAAACTCACTGCCATCTCGTAGATACTGACTCACAGAGACCCTGTAGGACAGGGTAGACCTGCCCCTGCGGTTTCCGAGACTGGAGCTTTTTATGGGAGCAAAAATTAATAAATAAACATCTTGACAAATGGTATTGCCTTACCATTCTGCAAATCTCTTTAATTCTCTGTCTTAATTGAAGACAGGGATCCCTGGGGGTGTCGTGGGTTTGCAACCTGAGCTGCTCCCCGCAGGCCAGTGTTTCTGACCCACCGCCCCTCGGGAGAAAAGAGGGGCTTCCTCAAAACTGAAAAGAGGCATTTCTGCGCTGTTCTTCGATAGGTTCGCGTAAGCCCCAGTGGACTGGATGGCAGTGGGCTTGGGTTTTATAGAAGAGAGCTGGATTTTCCTCTGCATCTTTCTGTATTCAGTCTGTTACAATGTGCTGTTCGGGTGGAACTATATAAAGAAAACCTGGCCTCGGCAGACCATAGGGAAAAGGGCCGAGTGTCTTCACAGCCCTTTCAGACAGCTGTGAGCATATTTCTTTACTCCTACACCGAAACTCACCTGGGGTGGTTTCTTAAAAGTGAGGTGCCAAGTGAAATCTCAAACCATGTCAATGAACCAACCTTCTGTGCTCGGTTAGTTAGAGTAAAATCCACTGGTGTGATCTGTGAGTGGATCGTATCCTTGCACGTGATTTCGTAACACCGTGCGTCTGGGAACTGCCGGCTCCCCGAGTTAAGTAGATCTTCCATTTCATTACCCAGTAGAATGCAAACCACATCCATCAAGCTCACCATCTTGCTCATCAGAAAAAGGCTAAGTTTAAGTATTGGGAAGCAGTCAAGCACCTGCTGAAAAATTGATTTCCAGACTCCTGGCTCTTGCCAGACGTTTTATCACCCGCAACACCGTCCGGCCCACCGTCTTTTCCTTGCAATGACAGGCTCATCCCGTTCTTCCGTGAGAAAATGCCTGCCACCGTGGAAATACTGTAGCTCTCCAAGCCCATTTTTCTTCCCAGTGAAAATGACACTCACCAATACAGTGGCCAGTCAGGGTTGTAACTCACAAGCGCACTAGGACTTGCCCTGGAGACGGCCGAGGCCAGTGCAGTTGGGCCACAGCAAAGGCCCTGGGGGATCTCCCACCTCATCACACAGGATGCAGAAAAGCTGTCCCATGAAGGGTGAGTGTTAAGGCAACGATTGCTTTTTGCTGCTTCGTTAAGGACCTTTTCCCACGAGGCTGACCTATCTGTCTGCAGTGAGCATGTGCACCCTAATGGTGCCGCAGCCTTGACTCCTGAGGTCCCCGCTTGTGTGCCCACCACTGCTTTTGTGCCATTGATGCAAATACCACCACCGTAGAAAAACAAACAGAAAACGGGCAGCAATGTAGCTTGACCACAACAAAAGTAGTTTTTAGCACGCCAAACCCCCCTGAGCAGGCTTTAGGGGATCCCTAGGTTTTTGAGAACATCTAGGACAACTTTATTGCGGTGATAGGATTCTCTAGTCGTGACCTGACGACAGTGGACCTGCCCATCCCCCAAACCATGCCAGTTCCCGTTGGTGCCCACGCCTGCCTCCCCAGGGGAGCAGAGTAGAACTGCGCTCTGTAGGCTTCGCCAAGGCTGTCTTCCGAGGCGCCTCTGCATGGGTTCAAACTGCCAGCCTTTCAGCCAGTGGTTGAGTGCTTAACCTTTGTGCGCCCACCAGGGACTCCTGGGGCCTCTGGGTTGGGAAATGCCGAATGTGTCCATGCAAGCCCTGAGGCTAAATTGGGTGATTTTCTCATTTGTCCATTTTAGACAACGATTCTGGCACCTCAGACCCTGACGTGGAAAACACAGTGAGGACCAATGGAAAGGGGAGCCCCGGCGAGCAGTCTGCGAGCCCTGTCCAGGCCATCAACAACAGCGGGGCCGGGGATTCCAGCCGCTCCACGCTTCAGAGGTGCCCGTGCTTGCTCGGCCGGTGACGCGTGTGTGCCGTCACGGCCTTTTCTGTTCCGATGCATCTAGGAGCCTGACTGCCAGCAGCCCCATTGAATGCCTGCCTCCCGAGCCCCTGTATGTGCGCCCACACACCCTCCCCAGCCACACGAGTGCTTCATATAAGGGTGATAGCAGCAGATTATCTCTTCCCATTCTTCTCGGCCTGCCCCTCACACGGTTGCTCTTAGTGCTTTGTCTTCTGGTCAACAATTTTTTGAGCCAAAGAGTGTGGCACCCCCCAGCCCCCTACCCTGCCACTTTCAGTCCCCTAGTCTAGAATCAGAAAACCAGCAGCGCAAGCCGCACGTGACGCTCCGAGATTGAACAGAGAGGGGTACAAAGCCTGAAAGCCACTCCCGCTTCTGCCGTTGGCCTTGACGATGAAGCTGAAAGAGGCTTGGGCCGAGTTGTTTGAACTAAGACGCAGCCTTTCCCACAAATGGTGTCGCACCTCAGGCTGTGCTGACGGTGGGCATGCTCCACGGCCTTCGGTTGGCAGAGCGCAGACCAATTCTCTGGGCAGGCCGCCCCTGAGGGTGCATTCTCTCCTCCCCCGTCAACAGAATCGATGCCCTCCCCTAGCATGGGGTTACGGGAGCCTGGTGGCGGAGTGGTTCTGCATTGGGTTGCCAACCGCAAGATCAGCAGTTGGCAGCCACCAGCAGCTCTGCAGGAGCTCGCTGAGGCTCCCCAAGTGACGGTCTCAGACACCCACAGGGCCGATTCTGCCCCGCCCTGCACGGTCACGATGAGTCAGCATCGGCACCATGGCCTTGAGCTCCGAGCTCCGGGGCTTTTCGGACTGGAACGCGGTGTTTGATGGCTGTGATGGGAGGAGGCTCCCTGCTGCCGATTAAGCTGTGTGTGGGCATGTGTGTTTCAAGATTTGGGTCAGAAAGTATCACCTTCTTCCTCTAATTCAGATGCCTCCCTTCTTGGCTGTCTCTTCATGACATCCCGACGTCGTCACCCATTCATTCGAGTGTCCCCGCATTATGGGTCCCGTGTTAGCGATGTTGTGACCTTAGGGGTGGAATGGGGAGAGTTGTGCGGACTCACATTCGAATCCCGGCTCCTCCGCTGGCCCCACACTTGGCCGATAGTGCCACCTAGTCTAAACGCGCCTACAGCCCCCAACAGCATCTGAACGCAGAACGTGGGCGCCAGCGCAGCTAACTTGGGACCCCGTGAAGGGCCAGCAGGAGAGCCCCTTTGGTTAGACCACCGACAGATGGGATGAAAAGATAGTGTGGTGTTGCCCCCTGAATCTTCTGAAGCCCCTTCCTATCCGGGATAGATTAAAACATCACCATGCCCTCACACCACACAGAACAACACACACGTCATCGCCCCTTTCCTGGCCCATCACTTTATGAAGAAGCCCTAGTGGCTCAGTGGTTAGACACTTGGTTGTGAACTGACAGGTTGGGGGTTCAAGCTCCACCAACAGCAATGTGGGAGAAAGCCCAAGTGATCTCGGCCTGTAAAGAGTGTACCTGCAGGGGGCCCTTTTGAAAGGATCACTGTGAGTCAGAATCAACTTAAAGACAGTGGGGCTTCTTAGCAACCTTATTCTTTCTCCTCCATCTCTGCTGCCCTCCCCATCCTCAAGACCCCCTGGGGGGACCGCTGCCCGCTCTCTGCCCGTGCCCTCTCCCACGTCTTCTTCCAAGGCGAGTTCGGGCCTGTGGCTTCCCTTTGGGGCCCAGGGAGATAGAAGATCGAAGCAGGCACAGGCATCACCACCACCCACCGCCCTTGTTCCTTCCAAGGCCAGTGAGCGCTCACCCGCTTGGCCCGACGACGTTGTGCATCTGACCTTCACGCCCCCCGCCACCCCCGGAGGAACTGCTGCCCTGACCCACTTCTTCCTTCCCAGCGTCATCAGCGGCGTTGGGGAGCTGGATGTAGACAAAGCACCAGTGAAGAAAGCTGAGCCCAACCCCAAAGGCAAACCGTACCCCGACTGCCCCTTCCTGCTGCTGGACGTTCGGGATAGAGACTCCTACCAGCAGGGACACGTTGTTGGAGGTGAGAGAGAAGGCCCCGTGCAAACCCTCCTCGGCCAGCCCAGCCCGCTCTGAGAGACTGGCGAGGTCCTGGGGGAGCAGGGACCCCACGCTAAAGTGTGGGGGGCAGCGTCGTTATCTCTCAAAGAAGTACTTTGATTTATGGCTAATGTTCTTGAAATGGCTCCGTTGAACTCTCATTCTGATCTCTCAGCTCCAAGTTAGATCTTAAAGCAGCTGGGAATGGGGGCCGGTTACTCCAGGAGAAAGCTACCGATGCCTTCAGTCCCCCCACCCCTGCCCTACTTGTTTTCTGCAGCTCACAGCTACCCGATCGCCACTCTGTCCAGAACAATGAACCCGTACTCCAGTGACATCCTCGAGTATGTATCCTTTGTGGCCCGGTCTGAGGGCGGTGAGACCGAATCAGGAGAGAGGCCCCTGGGAAGGGAACTGGGTGGCGACCCTTTGTTGTGAATCAGCTGCAAGGAGCTGCGCTTGTGGGTGCTTGGCAGTTTCTGGGCATTCTAGTCCGATAGAGGCGGGCACTTCCAAACCTGGGTCCCCGGTGTGGGGTCTGTGGAGGGTCCATCCCAAGGGTGTTTGCTTTGTTTTTTACCTAGAAAACTTTCCCGTGGAAAACGTTTAAGAAGTCGGCCATTTTTCTTCTTCTTCTCCTTTTAATTAGATTTTTTTTTCTCTTTGAAAATTTTAATTACACCCTTCCCCACCCCCAGCTCATAAAAAACATATGAATGGAAAACCATTTCACTACTGTAAGATATTTTAAAAGGGGGTCAGACTCCCTCTGAGCCTCATGATGGAGAAGCCGCTCCTGTGACATTTCTGGTGTTTAATTCCAGACTGGTGTGTTTTCGTAACAAAGTTGAGATCGTATTGTTTTCTATTTTTGTTGTTGTTTTAATCAATATTGTGGTATCTCTTCCCCCGCTAAGTCAAGATCTCAGTCCCTCTATTTTTGAAGTGGTAGCCTATCTCATCTTCAAATTTACTATTGCCAAACCATTCCTCTCTATGGAGCTTGTAGGTCGTTTCCTCCTCCTTCCCCCACCCCCCAATATTGTAAATAAGAAGGATTCCTGGTGGCGGAGTGGTTACGAGTTGTGCTGCCAACCATAAGGTCAGCAGTTTGAATCAACCAGCCACTCCCTGGCTACAGTCTCGGACACTCCCGGGGTGTTGCTACCCCGTCCTTTGGGATTGCTGTGAATGGCAGTGCGCTTGGCTTGGTTTGGTGTGATGCACAAAGCTGCAGTGGACACCTTCCCTGGGCATTGGGATTTTTCTTCTTTCTCGTCTGTAACAGGGGTTGTTGTAACACGTGGTCACTTCCTAGCGTGACAAGGAGAAAGGGGCAGAGGGCAGCTCTTAGCTCGTGCTGCCTTGGACCAGAGCGACATGAGTCTGCAAAAGCAAAGGCTACCACGACCGGAAACTGCCCAACGGCTGCTGGCCTGATGGCAGTGAGCGCGGTCACTCGGTGTCTCTGATCCCAGCCTGCGTTTCAGGGGGTTTCTTGTGGGCCAGGAGGGAGCCTGGTCAGCTCAGTGCTGTGGAGCCTTAACCCACTGACCCTTAGAAAAACGCCCACGGCAAAATCATCATCCTGTACGACGACGACGAGAGGCTGGCCAGCCAGGCGGCCACCACCATGTGCGAGCGGGGCTTCGAGAACCTCTTCATGCTCTCCGGGGGTGAGCGGCGTTGATTCTTCCTGGGACGTCGCTGGCAGCCCTCGGGACTCCCAGCCCACCCACATTTCCCTTTCAGCTCTATTTCATGTTCTGGGAAGAGACAAAGGCCAAATGGCCCGGAAGGACCAGAGTCCAGAGAGACATGCGTCTGGTCTGTGGGCGCATTGCTAAACTCTGGAACCACGCGTGCTCTTTGTAAGAAAGCCTTAAGGGGGAAGGTGTAGGCAGAAGGGTTGTGTGGCATGCTTCCAAAACCAGACTCCCTGCCCTGGAGTCAGTGCCGACTCGTGGTAGCCTCCTGCAGGTTTCCGAGGCGGTGACTGTGGACGGGAGCAGAAAGCCCCATTTTTCTCCTTTGGAGCCACTGGTGGTTTTGAACTGCTGACCACGAGGATCGCAGTCCAGAGCGTAACCACCACACCACCAGGGCTCCTTCTTAGAACCCCACCTATCCACTGACATGTTCTGGTGCAGTTTGCTTCCTTGTGGAAATGTCAGGGCCCTAGAATGCTGGCCTCTACTTACTGACGAGAACTCAGGAGAAACACTGACCCCTCGGCCCCATCCAGATTTTGGCTTGGCTCTACCATGTTAATGCCGATTCCCCTGATGTTTTACACCTAGGTCTAAAAGTCTTGGCTCAGAAGTTCCCGGAAGGACTGGTCACCGGTTCCCTGCCAGCATCCTGCCAACAGGCCCCTCCTCCTGGTTCTTCCCGGAAGCGATCCAGCCCCAAAGTGCCCCCCTCACCAGCTGAGAATAAATGGAGATTTACCCCAGAGGACTTAAAAAAGATAGAAGGTTACCTGGAAGAGGATCATAACCCTGCGGAAAATCCTAGTAAGATATTTTGACCTTTGGAGAGATTGTTTCCTGCGGAGCTTGGGTGTGTCGCTGTGACTGCCACCTCATCCCACCCTGTGAAAAGCCTGATCGCTTCCGATATGTTCAGATTCTTGGTATGAGAGAGAGACAGAGAGGCCTTGCTCCGAGGGCCAAGGTGAAATGATCTCAAATAGCATAAGCATTGAGCATAGACGTAGAAAGAGAAGATAGGCAACAGGTACGAGGGGCTCCGTAAGGCTGGAGGTAAAATCTTGGTGTCTTTTTGCTCCATTTTACCCTGAACTGTTTGCTACCCCCTCTGTGCGTGCTTCAGGCCCTGGGCACCTTCCTGCAAAGTCTTGGTTTCCACCAGCTAGCTGCCTCTGAGCACACGTAAGCCGCTTGGCAAGGCGCCCGTGGTCTGCCTTCCAACCTGTCCCCAAGCCGGACTTTCTCCCCCCTTCCCCTAATCATCTCGTCCTTATCCTTCCGTCAGGGAAGGAAGGAAAGAAGATGGGCCAGGTCGGCTGCAGATAAACCGAGAGGAAAAAACAAGCTCTCCGGGCCTCCTCTCCCTGCCCTCGTCCCCACCCCTCCCGTGGATGTCAAGGCCGGGGGCTAGGTCACCGTGAGCTGGAAGGAGATGCTGACAAGTGGCATGGCAGTACAAGACTTCATTAGCCTAAGAGGGTACTTGGCAGATGGCTCCTGGAGCGTCCCTGCGGCTCTGCCCCTTGCTCGCTCTCTCTCCCGCAGGCCGACTGAGCCACGCCAACTCCGCCGCCGCCAGAGACGCCAAGGGTGGAAGAGACTCCAAGACTCTGGCCACCGGCACCTCCAACTCCCGCTCCCTGAGCAGCGTCCCCTCACAGGGCAAGCCCTGGAAGTAAAGACTCCGCCTCTCTCAGTCAAATAAACGTCTCCCTCCTTTCAGAACCCGCTAGCTCGGAGGAGAGGCCGGGCACACCCTGTGCTCCAGGCCCTCTGCCCCCTTCCTGCTTCCACCTCCTCCCCACGTCCGTCCGTGAGGAAGGATCTCAACTGGTCACCACCAGACCCAGAGGCCTGGTGGGCTCCAGGGCCCTCCCTGCTGTTTACAGACGCTGGGCAGGGGCTGGGCGACACACGTGGCGGTCTACTCTTTCTAGGCCTTTCGTGGTTTCCTGGGTGGTCCAGTGTGTCTGGCCTGTACGATGCTCTTCTGTGCCCCGGCAGTCATTTCTGCTAGTGCACAGCTCCCCTCTCCGTGTCTGGGTTTTCAAACAGAGCCCCAAACAGGCTTTCCGCAGTATGGCGACAGACTCAGATGCCGGCTGGCTCTGTGGCACCAAGGCCTGGCGGCCCGTGGCCTTCTCTCCCCAGCACTCGCTTTCTGAAGGCTCTCTGTGAGTGTGGGCCGGCTCCTCCCTCCTCACTCGTGTGCTCCTGAGCCGGCCCACGGTGTGCCCAGCTGCCCTGACACGGGGGACCAGGGGGTCCTCCAGGGAGCGTTGTACCAGGGTCCCAACCCACCAGGCATCCATCCTCCTCAGAGGTGGGTTGACCAGTTGTAAATCCCCACGGCCCAGCTCGTCCCTGTCAGCCTGGGCAGAGACGGTGGCCACTCACAAACGTCCGCTCGGTTCAGTGGGCATTGCAGACGAGAGCCGACCAGGATTCTCTGTCAGAGCCGACAGCCCCTTAGGCCCTCGCTTAAAAGTACAGTATTAGTCTAATTGAGTAATTAGTGCAATTTTCTGCTTGCTTTTCATTCTCACGACTGAGCTGTGATTAGGCGGTTGTGATTGTAGATTCTGGTTCGGGCCGGAATTTTGAATCAGCATTAATTGAATTGCTGGGTGAGTGATGTTCGTTCCATCTAATTGGGGGAACAAAAGACTGCAGGTAAGGATGGCCAAGGGAGTGGGAAATGCTGTGGAAAAGGGAAAGAGCCTTGTTAATTTTTATGGTCTGCGATCTGGGGCTGCGATAAGGGACTGAGGAATAAATTGTCCCCTTTGTCATGGCAACCAGCTGCTGGAAATTGCCTGCTCTTAGGTGGTTCCTGCTGCCCGAGTAAGATTTGCCTTAATGGGGCTATTTTCTCGACACTGGGGTGGGGGAGGGGGGCACCACAGTATTTCTCGGGGGTGGGGGTAGTCAGGGGTATGTGGAGGGAGGGGGCTGTGTTCCGTAGAGAAACAGGCAATCAATATCTCGTAGAGATCGATGGGAAAAAACACCCCTCCAAGTAGCCATTTCTGTGGCGGGAGGTGGGGGGGGGCGTTTCTTCTTCCCCTCTTGATTTTGGAAGCGCCACATTTTCCGAAGCTTTGGAAACCACACAGACCGGAGACGTTGTTCAGAACTCAAGCCGTGCCCAACGTTCCCCCAAGATCCATGAATCTTGTATAAAACCCAGCCAACGTACACACAGCTTTCGAGAGGAGCCCGTCACCCCCCCCAAATGTATGGCCTGAGAACCTGGTCCAGCCTCTAGAGACTGCCAGAAGTACAGCCCAGCTCGGAAATGCCGACGTTCTCCCCCCAGCCGTCCGTTCCCCCTAACAGACCCTTCTGAGCCGTGGTTTTTGGGGGTTGGCTTTTTTGGACACAGGCGTTTTTAAGAACAAACTGACTGTTCTCCCTCTAACACAGTTCTGGGTTTGCCGATTTAAAGTGGGTCATGTGGGAGCGCGGGCATCCCCCTGCACCCAGCTGTGGCGTGAAAGCAAAGGGCCGGTCCTCGCCGGTCCTCTGCTGGGTTCCCCTCTCCAGGCACCTCTAGAACCCTGCTGGCCTTGCCACCCAGCCCCTCTGGCGCTGGGCAGGGTGCAGGCATTTCCTTGCCCCTTTGCCGTAGCACCCGGCCCTGCCGGCAAGCATTTCTGAAGAGCCACTGTTCCGGACTCCACACTCCGATGGTGACATGTTGCCAGCAGGCACCTTCTGTACATGATTGGGGCGGGGGTGGGTGGAGTGGGGTGGCTTCTCCCATTTGAGTTCACCAGCGTCCCCCTTAGACCCGTGGATGTGTTACTCAACCGATGAGTGATACCTTGTGTGCTGACGAAGGTAGAAGATTAAAGCCTGTGGTCGTGAAGGTGTTGTGTGGTGCCTTGCACTGAACCCTTGCCCCATGCCCCCTCCGTCTCCCTCCCGCTGAGAGGATGCGGGCCTGGCCAGCAGCGGGGTGGAGGGTGGCACGTGAGGCTGAAAGTGACTGGAAAAGGCGCTGGGAGCTCGCTGCCCCCTCCGGAAAAGGATATGCTCGTTCCAGAAGTGGATCCGGAAGCACTCCTTCAGGGAGGAGGGCCTCCCCCAGACAGAAGACCTGACTTCCTCTGTGCTCTGGCACCATAACCAGACCACACCACAGCCTCTGGGCAGTGTTTCAGGGGTCGGCGGGCAGCCCCTCCCAGCCCCCAACCCCGGATGAAAGGGGCTTGACCGAAACAGCTCCAGCTCTAGCTGTTCAAGAGTGAGGAAGCAGCTTTTAACCCAGAAGGGGTATCGATGGGAGGGGGAGGGAGGAGGAAGACGTCCACTTACTGTTCGATAGCACGAAGGGCGTCTGGACTGCGGTCACGCGGCTGCAGTCGACACGATTCAAATGACCTCAAAGTGATTTGACTTTTGACCGTTACTTAAAAAAAAAATTTTTTTTTAATGAAACAGAACCAGCGCCATCAAATCAGAATTCAGAGAGAACAAATCCTGTCCATTCTTTGCTTAGGGATCTCCCCCCACCCCCCATGGTGCAGTTTCGATGATACAAAACTTCTCAAGACTTGGGGCTATTCATGAAGCAAGCAGGACAAAGCAAAAGCCTTCTTTTCTCTCGTTCCTCGTGGAGAATATGTAAAATCCGGATCCTGGGCGGGGCAGAATTATGTCGGGTAATGTCCCTGGGCTGGCTTTGTTTTGTCAGCTTACACGGTGCTTGGAGTGCCTTGTACATCATCCGGCTTTCCTGGGACATGTCCACCCGGACCACCCTCCAGGGCTCCCTTCTGGCTCTGCACAGCCCTTGGTCATTACGAGCAAACCTTTCTCTGCCCCACTTCCAGCATCTTCCCAGTGCTGTCATGTGCACTTATTTCCTCCACCCCCCTCCACCCCTCCCTGCAGTTCTTTCAAAGACACAACTCCCTGAAAGCACCCCTCTCCCCGCCCCAAGAAGCACGGGGAACGTGGAATCTAATTCATCAGTGTTATTGCGTGGGCATGTCAAGAGTATGTGCCATTCAATTAATTTTTTAATCAGCAAATTTGTTCTTCATACCAAAGCAATCAATAAGGCACAGTGCTTTCAGGGTGGCTTTGAACAGCAATGCCTCCCTTGGACTGCGGTCATTATTGAAATGATTATCGTGGGGTCCGAAACTCGGTGCAGAGCCCAGCAGGTGCATTAAGTATGTACTGGGCCGGGAGATTTGTCAGCCTGGAATCCTGGCCGAACAGTTGGTGCCGGGAACGTGTGTTCACAAAACAACACTTGTCACCCGGCGAGCCCTTCGCGGTGGCCCTCGCCCATGCTGGGCCTCTGTTCCCAATCCAGCAAATTCCCTTCGCCTCTGGGCCCAGCAGGGGCCAGGCGGGCCATGCTATGGGCAGTTGGCTGAGTTTCTTAGAGGACATACATGCACCTCCAATTTGGAGTCTTTTTGTCTCTAAGCTCCCAGGGGGTGGAAGTCACCGACCCCATCACAGGCGCCTTGTGAGGAAAGGGGCAGAACCAGGACTTAGTGGCTCCTTCACTGAGGTTGACGGCCAGCATGGGAGCCCATTGTGGTCACCGCTCTGGGGGGGGGGGGCCAGGAGAGCTTGCTCTTTTGTCCCCTGTGCCTGTGGTGAGGCGTTCCCAACCCCAAGAGGCGTCCCAACAGCTGCCAGGGAGCCATTCCCAGCTTGCAGTCAGCAGGGCCCATGTTCACCGTGCCCTACGACTTGAAGCCGCGTCCAGAATTCAGCGACTCCAGGCTGCTCCCCACCACCTCCACCTCCACCCGAGGGTGGGGTGCTGCTCTGCCCCAATTCTTGAAGAGTCCCAGGCAGTCACCAGGAGCAAGTGTGTGTGGGAGCAGCATAGACTGCTGGGCGGCGTCTCCAGGGGTGGGGGTGGGGGGTGCCGGGTGCGGGAGTGTCGTTATCATGAGCTGTAACATTGACTCCGCACAGCAAGCCTATGAGGTGGGCACCACCCTCCCCCATTTCCAGATGGAACTGCGGCCCAGGTAGAACTGAGGCAGCTTGTCCCGCCTTGTGGCTGTGACACCAACTCTCCCCACCACGCCTGCCCTTGTTGCCCCTCGGGGTGGGCACAGTCACACTTTCGGTAGGTGATGCCTCCAGCCAAGGAATATAAAAGCAAAGCCCCCCCCTGGGCGGTGGGCTCCCCTTCCTCACTTAGCACCTGGGGTCCACGCAGAGCGCTCCCCTGGGCCAGCACAAAGGAGACGGTCAGCGCTGGGATTGGAACATCTAGCGCTGGGAACGGGGACTGACTTCCAAGGTCGCCTGGGTTTCTGAGGCCTGCCCTGTGCACAGACATCGAATGCGCTACAACTTCAGGAATGCGAGTTACAAACTTTTAATTAGAGCAGAGGAGAAAGAGAGGCCCCTGACTTATGCACTCAATAAACCATGTTGGTATGATTTGTGTCTGAGCTCTCATTTCCTGTGTGGCGATGTTTCTGATTTAGGCTGAGACATAAATTGTGTGAATTGGCTGCGGCCACAGGCCCAGCTTTTCCTGGGAGGAAACAGCAGCGCTCTGAGCGTTGGCCCACGTTAGCGGAACCCAAATTCCCTCCCCGTGGAACTATAGCTGGACTCCGTTACTGGGGTTGAGCCGAAGGCTTCCTTTGCGCCTCGGAGTTTGGCAATATCGGCAATCTGGTCTCTGGGGCCACTTGAGGATGC